AGCAAATTTACCTCTATCTTTAGGAATAATGAGACATCTGTCATGAAGCTTCTTACATTTTTCTGTCTGCTGCTTCCAGTGTCATATATCTGACATGTGATAACCTCCCTTTATAAACTCTAATGTTAGGGGAAAGATTTTGTTCACTTTGGCTGCCCACATGACTATTCTTGACCTATTTGCAAATATATGACAAGGAACACGGTGCACCCTTTTATTCTGACTTTTCTGTGTCTGATACTGACCACATCTTTTAAGAATAAAATCATCTTTATTATGTGTACAAAGGCATCAGAAAATTAAAATTTAAAAATCCATTGGGCTTCATTTTACCTGGTTATTACCTGTCTCTAATGCATTAGTATTATTTTGTATCAAAATATTTTTTCTTTTTTTTAATGACTAAACATTTAAATCCTGAAGCATTTTTTGCAATCATCTTTGCTAGAATAAAAAAAAATAGTGTTGATCAAAATGTTGTCTTAGTTGTTACTGACAGCTGTTAAAATGCTGCTAAAAATATAGCAGCAACTACTGAAAAACTAACTGCTCCTGTGAAGTCCTAATGAGAAATTCTAAATGAGTTTTTCATCAAGTTCAACAAAAACTTACGCTTGTTTCCCACACTTGACCCAAGGGATTGTTTCACTTTTGTGTGTGTGTGTGTGTGTGTGTGTGTGTGTGGTTGTTACTGCACATAATACCAGAGAAACAGCCGTGGCATATAATTCTAATGAACACACAATCATGCAGTTATTTAAGATTAGAATGGTTATTTAAAGGTGATGAATTTCCTCCACTAAACCAAGAATACATGAAAAAGGAGGGGAAATTGAAAATGTCTTTATTTTTGTTAAAATATACTGCTGTAAGATCCTCCCCCCTTTTCAACTACTGTACATTATTTCTAAATTTAGAACATCAGTGTAGGCACACTGAAATCTGATTTGCTTCTAATAATATGGCATACTAATTGTGATGCATGTGCTGTTTGGTGCTCTGCCATCTCAAAATCTGGCCACAGAAATGTATTAAGTTTGTGTATTTTCTATTTAAACTGACTATAAATAAAAGTAAGGTAGACAGATGAATAAATAGGCAAACAAATACAGAAATTAATAAATAATGGAAGTTAATAAAAATATACCTAATAGTCTAGAAAATTGAGTTTGGGCCATTTTGGATATTAAAAAAAAAAAACCCTGATGTTTTGTGTTTATCTTCTGGTCCACAATTTCTTATTTGCTTGTAGTGTTTATAAACTGTAACATGTGTGTTTTGCAATAAACAAAGAAGAAGTTCTATATTGCATTATTCTCCTATTCATCTTCTCTGACACACACCCCCCCTCCCCGTTTCTTTCTCTAACTCTCCCTGTCTTTCTCAACTCTTTCCAACAGCTGGTAAGAGACTGAAAAAAATCTAAGCTTTTTAGAAAGAAAAAGAAAATGCCAGTATGGTTAGGCTTATTAATGAAGTTAACTATGACTAAATGCTTTAGCCTTTAACTTTTAAAAATTATTTAATACAGTTATGTGATACCTAATGGTCTTTACTTTCTTGTCAGCAAAGATATGAAGAAGAGGTACATAATACGTTTCAGAAAATGTTTAACAATTTTTTTGGTTTATGATTTTTACAACTTAAAATCTGTGTCTCTCCCCTCCCCCAATGTCAGCTGTTGAAGAAATGGGTTGAGGAACTGGGAATTAAGGGGTGGCTCTGCTAAAGCTGAAAACAAAGATTTAGGGAGGATTTTTTCCAACGCAAACTTAGATATTAGGCTTTGTATCTGAAGTTACATAATAGAGGATGTGATGTCACACATGTAAATTGCAAACGCTGAGTCGTGCACTTTGCTGTGGCAAACCTCAGGGAGTTTGACACTAATGGGATGGGGGAGGGAGGTGTCCCCAGGTTCAGTGACTGTGGAAAGGAGGGTGAACAATTGTCAAAGGCGATGTCTGATGCTTCTCTAAGCTGGAAGCTATTTGGCAGCTACATGGGAGATGGAGTTAAGGTCCTTTTCTGTGCTTGTTCTTTCTTAATTTCTAATTTTTTTCAAAAGAAATTTCTATCCTTTTGCAAAGAACAAATAGGCTTATCTAAAAGGTTAAAAGAACAAACACTGTTAAGAGAGGTTTAAAAACATGCAAGTAATGACATCGCTAGGAACTCACTTTTTAAATTGATGAGACTCTTCATTAATGGGCATCGGAATGAATACTATTCCTAACAACCTACACGCCCTGAGTTCTCTTCTTTGTTGGGGTCTCTCAGAGGCATGACTTGTGGGATGATTCTAAGCAAAACCAGCAACACTTTCTCTTTAAAAGAAAGTACCTGGGATCTTCTTCTCAAGCTGTGCTCAGAGGGTCAACAAAGAAAATACCCAGGAATGTGGTATACCTGAGGGAAACTTAATCATTCAAATATATTGGCATATGTTTACATCTAAATACTCAGATATTTAAAAAAATAAACTTTCACCCATTAATAATTGCAAGATCCCTTCATATCTCTCCCATAGGATAAGAGAAGCTGACATACATGGCATATGGGGTCCCCCCCCCACAATTAATCAATCTTAGCCTATTAAGACAAAACTATTTTTAAGGTAGGGAAAATTTAAAAAATGTGTGTGATGACCAAGGAAAAACAAAGCAATATATCTTCTAAGTTTCTAAAATTTTGCAGTTCTAACAATCCCATTTTGTACCATAATTTGGTCAAATTGTCAGTAACTGAGACAACTGTATTTGAGATTATTGATTAAAATAGTAGATGGGATTCCTAGGTAAAGAAATTTTATGGTAAATTATTTTGTAAAGGGGGAAGGAATTGTCAAGGCCTTATTGATCAATTTTGTAAATTGGAATATACAATTTATACGTTACCATGAATGACAGGTTCATCTAATATTTTTATTATAAAAAATTTCAAGTTAACAAAGAAGTTGAAATGACCACCTGTATACCCCGTACCTAGATTCTTCCATTAATACTGTACTACATACATGCTTTATTACATATCTTTCCATCCTTCTGTTATCAATTCATCAATGTCAATCCATCTTATTTTTGATGCATTTCCAAACTCAGCTCACAGATAAGAGTACTTTTAAATGATTCTTTTAAAAGATCACTTACCATATATCCTGTTAATTTTGAAATACGTATTATTTAAATATTTTCTCCATTTCACCTAGGTATATCTTCACAAATATTAATGTGGAAGCCTTTCTTACAAATAAGAAGCAGGTAAAAGGTTGTTTTGCTGAAAGCCAAAATGCCTCCTCGAGCCATATAAGAAACAAATAGTGTAACATTATGTGGGTGACAGAAGGAATGGGAAACTCCATACTGGAAGAGTGGGACTGTGGTTGAATGAGGCGAATGACTGTTTTGTTAGGGCAGCTCGGCTTTTAACGTGGTACTATTTGGGAAGGGATTAGCAAGTTTCACAGCTATTTAGGAACAAAACGCTAAAGAACCTAGAGAAGAGGGGCCAATGGAGGCTGCATAAAACTGTAGGAAAAGGAGTGTTTAAGCTAGAAAAGGGGCGTGTGTGAAGTCACTTCCAGATACAGGACAAGCAGGTGAACCTAGTTTTAAACGACGCTCACTAGTCTTCCCCGCGCCCTGCAATCTCCCACCCGAAGGTATGGGCAACGGCGCGGTAGACGAATCGGGCAGAAGTGCTATCTCGCATACCCGCGAGTGCCCGCGAACACGCGCGCACACACACACACGCGCACACATCGCTCCAGTTTAGGGGGATTAGTGTGTCTGGGATTGGGGATGTGGGACTTTGGAGAGGCTCGAGAGTGAGGACGCTGTAGACAGACCCGCAGCGCGGCGGGCGCGGGAGAATTCCGGGATCGCGGCTCCGGGGTCCCTCCTCCGCCCCCCGCCGCGTGCCCGCGCGCAGTCCGCCGCCACCCCGCCAGGCTCCTCCGCCCCCCTTTCACTTTCGCATCTGCGTAGGTGTCTGCCTGGGCGAGCGCGAGGGCGCGGGGGCGCGCGGGGCGACGCGGGGGCGCGCGGAACGCGGCGAGGGAGGGGTCCTGGCGCTCGGCCCCTTCCTGGGCTCGCTCAGCCCGGCTGCCGCCACCGGCGTCTGTTTCGCCGTCAGAGCCAGGGGACCGGCGGCGGCCGCCGCTCCTCTCTACTCTCCTACACGCCCCCGCGCGCAGACACCCGGTCGTTCCTCGGCGCCCCCCCACGGTGGGGGTGGGGCAGAGGCACGGCGAGCCCGGGAGAGGCGGGGAGAGGAGCAGCCTCTTGGGGTGGGCAGCGGGGGAGCAGGAAAAGAAACTTTTCCCTCCTGCCCCCGGCCCGTGGTCCTCGGCCCTTGATACCACCTTAGGTGGGAACTGCACCTGAGCCCCGGCTAGAGGTTAGGGCCGGACTTTGGGGGGCCGCAGAAAGGGGAGGAAGGGGTACGTGCATTTGGGTTCCCTTTTCCCTCGGCCTCCTTGCTGTCAGCGGCTGGGGTTGAGAGGGCGGCCACCGGTGCCCTCAGCCCTGTTTCCCAGCAGCTGGTGGTCCGACACCGGGCTACCTCCTCCTGCTAGTGAGGGTGTGACCCAGGGAGTGGGCTGTGGCGCCGCGGGCTCCCCCTGCGGCCGCCCCCCCGTTTCTCTCTCACTGTCTCTCTCTCTATCTCTCTCTCTCTCACACACACACACACGCACATACACACACTCGCTCACGCTCGGCCGCCGAGCTGTCACCGGCCACCCCAGGCCCTGGGAGGGGGCGCGGAAAGCCGCGCTGCTGGGCAGCGTGCGCGGGATCATCCCGCCGGACTGGCTGACTCCCAGGGCCAACACCGTCAACGCCGGCGGACAAGCAGCCCCGGGAGAGGGGACCGCCTGAGGCCCGGCTGCCGCTGCTGGGGGCGAGCGTGTGCCCGCGGCCCCCTCTAACGCGATTTGGCGCCGCTGACTCGCCACCTCCTGCAGGGTAACCACACTATCGCTCCATTGCTCTACCCACCGTCAGTAGGGTGACTGCCGGGATTATCATCCTCTCCATCCTCACTGCAGGCCAGCTAATATTGGACTTGCTAGTGGCGGCAGCAGTGGCGGCGGCGGGAGTCTCGCTGCCCCTCTCCCTCCGCCCCAGCCTCCCCACCATGTCCTAGAAAAGGTGAGTGCAGCGACAGTCACTTTGCGCTGACGGCGGCAGAAAGGGACCCGAAGAGTGCGGGAGCGGCCCCTGGGAAGCAGGGTCCGTGCAGAGGGCAGAGGGCGCGGATTGGCGCACGGAGGTGGGCTGCGGGTTGGAGGCGAGATGCCTGCTGGGCCGCCTCGGGGCAAGGGTGCTGGGCGGCCGGCGAGCGTGAGCCGCGGCTGCCCCTGCACGGTTCTAACCTAGATTTTGCAAGAAGCTGAGATCCAGGGCAAGATCAGCCCTCCCCAAAGGAGGTGAAAACTTAGTAAAAGAGACACGTCCTTTCCTTTAATAATGAATAATTCGGCAACGCTGGCTGAGCCGCCACCGCTGCTTCGCACGCCCTGGCCCTAGGTCTGGGACTCCCTTTGCTCCTGCCCACCGCTCGCGCGCGGCCAGGACACGATCGATGCCCGACTGCCCGCCGGGCGGGGAGAGCGCGCGTGACGGCGGGCCCCGCGGGAAAGTTGGAACGCTCGGCGGGGACTCCTGGTTGCAGGAGCGCGGGGGGCAGTATTGGAGTCGGGGGTCAGGACCAGCTTGCCGGTGCCGCTGCTGTCTCCCGGAGTTCCCGACTGGCGCGGCTGAGAGTTCGAGTCTCCCCGGGTTCGGGTCCGGAATCCCGAAGCTTAACTAACTGTAAGAAGAGGAGGGGCCTTTGGGCACAGGGTGCCCTCCTTCCCTCACTGCTTTGGCCAGCGCGGAGCAAGGGTGAGGCGGGAGCTGCACAGCTGCCGCCGCCGGCCTGCGGGTCGCCAAGGGCCGGGGGACCAGATTTAGGTGTGTACGTCACTGATGCTGACTCTGGGCCAACCGGGAGCCTAAAACGGAGCCTCATACGAGGAGCCTAAAAGTCCTTAGAAATTAAAGTTAAGGAGCCCATTCTTTTGCTTAGTAACGGCAGCGTTTGGGTGGGCGGGAGGAGAATCCAGGTGGGGGCGGTTGGAGGGAAACCGAAAATTCTTGGTGCAGACTCTCGATCCTTAGAAAACAGTTTGGTTCCTTTCCTCCCTCCTGCATGTTTGTCCCGATTATGTGCACCCCTTCCACTCAATATAAAGTGAATATACTCATAATAAGCCCTATTTCATATTGAACTAGTGGAAAAATCCAATACTAAAGTGTTAAGTACATCAACAAAATTATAAGGAAGGAGAGCGGCAGCTCTTGACCCTGGCACTTTTTTTTTTTTTTGGTGGGGGTGGGGTAGGGTGGGAGGAAGGCTGTTTAAAGGGCTTTGGCTGCACTGCAATCACCCGCTTTTCTGCACGGTTAAAACAAGGAAATTCAAATCGAGTGGGAACGTGATCCTCTTGCTCGCTGGCAGTGGAGACTGCGGCTGCTCTGCTGAGAGGTAACTCAGGAGACCGAGGAAGGGGGCGGGGAGAGGAACCTTGGGGTCTACTGAAGCCCACGCGGAGTCTTCCCCTATGCGCAGACGCTGTGGGCGGCACTGGGGTCACGGCTGCCGCTCACCTGGCGCTGCAGGTGGAGAGCCAGAGGGGATAACACTTTGACTGCTCGCGGAAAAACCCGACTTCTTCCGCGTCACTACACTTTTCACATCTCTCCAGGTATCCTGGGGTCCGCCAGGAGGAGAGCTGGTTAGTCAAGAGCAGGTTTGGGGCGGTCAAGCGAGGGGGATCGGGGGGCAGAGCAGGGATAGGTCTCTGGTGTCATAATCACCGTCCGGACCCCCAAGCGCCCGCCGCCGCTGCGGCTTTAAGGAAGCTGCCGAGTCCAGGCTGTGTCGCAGCAACTTTGTATCAGTCATGTCGCCCGCCCCGTGACTGACAGCTAAGATTGTCCAATGAGAAGCCCGCCTGACCCGTGCAGCGTGGAGCCTTGCTTCCCTTCGGGCCAATGGGAAGGGCTCAGGGGGGCGGGATAGCAACCTGAACTTTATCTGGACATGTGACCCGTTTTTAAAAGGACCGGCTCTCCAGTTGGCCAACTCCCCCTCCGGGCTTATGCCCGCCCTCTCTCCCCCTTTTGCCCGCTTTGGCCCTGCCCCCTCCTCTCAGCTTCTCCGCCCGGGGTGTCATTGGGCCCGGAGACGCGAGCCAACTTCAGGCTGCTCAGAGGAAACCCGTGCAGTCACCTGGGTGCAAGAGCGTTACTGCCTCGAGCTCTCCCGCTGCAGGGAGGGCGGCACTCGCTGGCCTGGATGTGGTTGGATTTAGGGGGGCTCCGCAGCAGGGGTGTCGTGGCGGTGGCAAGCGCTGCAACAGGTAGACGGCGAGAGACGGACCCTGGCCGAGGCAGGTGTGTAGGGGTGCGCAGCGGGCCGCCTCTTGCCTTGCTAGGCGTGCGGCCGCGGCGCGGGTGCGTGCACTTCGCAGGGAGAAGTGGCTGCGTAATCCGGAGGCACAGTCAGTATGGTGCTGTGTGCTTGTTGTTTTGTTTTGGTTTTCCACTTTTTCCCCCCTTTGGCCGCCAGAGGACTATTTTGGGAAAGTTTGGCCACTTTGGATAAATGCCCTCTAACGAGCAGCTTTTAACCGCCTTTGGCTGTGGGAGGTCTACCACCCTTCTGTTTCCCCAAAGATGAATTTCAGATCTTTTCCTTGTACAAATTTTAAAGGACGTTGAAATAATATTTCTTTCCTCTATCAATTGCGGAAGCTTCCAAATCTCGGCCGGAGGTGTAGCGGAAAAAAGGGCAATTGAAGGAGATATAGATCCCGTATGAAAGGGGCTCTGGAAATTCGTGCATTTCCCGTTCCCTAATATTCCCCCTAACTCTTGAGATCGGCTATGTTTTCTGTGATCCTTTGGAATTCTAAGGGCAGGGGAGAAGGTATGAATCTTCTTTTGGTGGCATCCTTGACGCGCTGAATTTTAGGTGCGTGGCTTTTCTATTGATTTTTGAAAGACCAAGTTTAAATCATAATGATTATGGCACCATCAGTTTTAATTATTTATTAGTGCACAGGAGTTAGGAAAACTTTTGCTAGCAGAGGAGTTTTTGGAACCTCCGACTTTTAAAGGCAACAAATTGCTTCCTAACATTTTGTAATGCCATTTCTCTAGGTGCTGTTATTGAGGATATTTACATAGGAACGATAACAGCATTCTCCATCTGTGAAGTTTTAATTTCATGTTTGACATGGCATTATCGCGGAAAGGCTTGAAGTTTTGAAAATAAAATCTAAAATCTAAAAGTGGAGCTTTTTACTTAAAGGGAGGCATAGTTTTGTTTGGGGATTTTGGAAAGATCAGGTGGCCCAAAGAATTAGGTGAGTGAATAGAAATCACTTGTGCCTAATTCTAACTGGTTCTCCAGCTCTCTTAGGTGACCTTGGGCAGATGTCTTTCATTTACCTTATCTTTAAAAGAGGGGAAAGTAATAGTTCTCTAAGAGTGAATGACAAAAGATGGTTAATATATACTGAACTTCTACAGCTATGTAACTTAATGATGATTATGAATTTCTGAAGGCTTAGTCATTAAGTGGTATCTGATAGTGAAATAACTATAGAAAATGATGCTGTTAAAATGGGACTATGTGGGGGGATAAGAAAAGTGAAACTGTTTTGAGATAAAATACAAATTCCTAAGGATCTTTAATTATATTCCTGGGGGAGGGGAAACCTACTTCCTTATGGAAAAGGGTAATTTCACATGGACTATAAAACATGAAAATTTGAAGTCAGGTTTTCCTGTATAAAAATGGTGTTTAAGAGCTTTTATATGCCTTAAAATAGAACCTCCATCAGGCTTTTCCTTACAATGTAAATGTTCTTTTGTCCTGGGGGAGGCCATTTACATCAAAATTGAAGGTGTATGAGGATTTTTGCCCCCACATAATATGCATTATAAGGCATGCAAGACTTATTTTTATGCAAATTTATATGTGTGTGTGTTTATGTATGTATATGAATGTGTGTATGTATATTCCTCTCTGCTTCATTTTATGCTTTAGTATCAAAAACTTTCTCTTTACTTTCTGGATATTGTTTTGTAAGGATCATAGTCATCAGCTAGTTTTTTCAGTATCACTAGTATTTTCAGGTTGACTGAAATTATGCCCAAGCCATGGTCATTATGCTAATTATTTTTTTTAAAAAATTTCTTTTAGCAGTAGATGAATACCTTTTTCTTTTTTTTTTTTTTTTTGTGGTGCTGGGTATTAAACCCAGGGCCTTATGCATACAAGACACTCTACCAACTGATCTCTCTCTCCAGCCCCAATACCTTTGTTTTATTCATTTATTTTTATGTGGTGCTGAGGATCGAACCCAGTGCCTCACACATGCTAGGCAAGTGCTCTACCACTGAGCCATAACCCTAGCCCCTCATTATGCTAATTCTAAAAAGACAACTTAGGTTTCCAGGACAACATAGGAAATGAATTTCTAACATGATCCATTTTTTATAGACAAGACCAATTAAAATAATAGGAAGAATTCAGCATGAAATATTTCAATAATTTTTTAAAAAAATGACCTCAACTGCAGTGGAAGCCACCCAGATGCTTGATATCCTCTGTTATTTGTGTTTATTGTCAACCTTTACTCTGTTTCCTTTGTTGAGAGGTATGTGAGGTTGGCAGATGAGAATACCTTAAACAAATCTAATTTAGATTTCAGCAAAGCCTTTGGCAAATTCTTAAATGATAGTCCTTTCAATAACATAGTGAAGTATAGGCTGCTTTATGATATTGTTCAGAGAGTTCAGGGCTAGTGAAACAGGACTTGGAAAGTTGTGATCAGCTGTCTGATGTTAGCTGATAAGCTGCTTCCTTATAGAGTCTGCTTTAAGATAGTCCTTGGCCCAGGGTCTCATAGAGATTCTCTTTGAATCTTCATAATAGCCTTATAGAGCTGGCATATGGCTCATGCTTTAGAGCAGAGTGATGAAAAGCGCCCTTCAGAGTATTAGTAGGTGTTTTGTGAAGAAAGGGTGTCAGTAGCCAAATTATTTAGGGAATGCTGGATTAAAAAGTACTTCTGCATTGTAGAATGTCCCCAAGGTTCTAGAAATGCACATTTCACTGTACGAGACCTCAAGAGAGCAATGAGTGACCAATCTTCCCAAAAGACAGTTGGGAGAAGGAATTTTTTGGAATATCATCTGGGTGGGATCCTCCTTCAGACTCAGGGTAGGCCCCAGAGAGAGAATAAGGCTGTGGCCCTGGTAGTAGAGTGTGCCAGTGGAGGCCCTTTGGTAAGGATAACTTCTAGGCCTTTGGGTAGATGTGATGCAGTGTACTAGGAAGGCAGTGTGAATTGGGGTGTGAAGGGAGTGAGATACACACAAAGTGTTCTGTTTTAGACGCAAATAGGCATGCAATGAATTTGAACCTAAAACATCTGTACCTTCATTCACCTTTGGTGTGGGGAAAACAGAATATTTTTAGATACAGGAAGCATATCATATTTAATATTTTCAACCTGTGGCTATAGCTAAATAGTTTTTCCAGTGAGTAGAAAAGTCCAGTATTACCCATTTGGGTTCCCATACACTATTTTTTTATGTTCAACTTTAGTTGGTTTTTATCTACAACAGATTTTTTAGATGAAATTACCTGATAATATCTCAACTTTTGTGATTTATTTTGTCACTGTTTGTAATTGATTTTTGATTAGGAATTCATAGAATAATGTTCTTTAAGTGAACGCATGCTACATAGTTGGTAGATTTTAATGTTCTCAAATTAAGTATTGATTATCGTATAATAGTTTAACATTTTTTATTTGTGCTTTAATATTCATCGGGGACATAGTATTGAAATTGATAGTTTGTCATCTCAGAACTTAACATCTAGTAGTGAATACAGAAAAGTCAGAGGTAATTATAATACTCGGGACAATTTGGGCATTAAATTTCATTATAGAGCCTTGTGATATCTAATGTTAACTTATTTGGTGGAGTCATTTTTCAATGGAATCTAATATGAGTTCTGTAGAAGGACTTCCTGGTCTCTATTTTTTTTTTTTTTTAGTAGGGAGGATGGAAGGTAAAAGAGGTGGAGCCTAAAGGAAGCTCATGTACAAAACTGCAGAAATGGCAGGATCCTTCGGTCAGAGATGATTTAGACTTAAAAGGACTGGAAAAACGCATCCAGAAAAAAATTTATGGCACATGAGTTAATTTTCTGTAAAATGTTTCTTTAGAGTGGTGATTTCAACCAGGGGTGATTTTTGTCCCCTGGAGATATTTGGTATTGTCTGGAGAAATTTTTGGTTATCAGGAATGGGAAGGGTTCATGTTCATGGCATCTAGTGGGTAGGGATTGGGGATACTGCTAAAGATGTCATAATTCATAGGACAGACGGCCACAAGAATCATCTGGTCCAAAATGTGCCAAGGCTGAGAAACCAGCTTTGCCACTTAGCTGTGTGGCCAGTGCCTCAGTTTTCCCACTTGTATTATTTAGATAGTATTTTCACCCATCGTATAGGGTTGTTTGTAAGGATAAAAGAGTTAGTAAATGTAAAAGACTTTTATAATATCACATTGAATTATATAGTACACAAGAATTTTATAAACCCAGCCCATTATCTACCCAGGAACTGATACCTAGTAGAACTAATGATATGATGATATCTACAACAATCCTTGGTCTCCTTGGGCACCCAGACTATGCCTGTTCATTTACAACTACCATTTCAGTGCCTGGTCTTGGGCACATGACATAGCAAGCACTTGGTAAATGCTGTTGAGTGAATGAATGGCTTAAAATTTTTAGGATCCCTTTAGATCTCCCTCCATTCACTGTGGAGAATAAAAGCATCTGGCCTTAGGGAGTCTTTTTAGCAGAGAGACGACTGGGGGAAGGTTCATGCCAGAGTCCTGACCAGTACTGAAATATAGTGAAGAACCCTGGCATTCCTGAGCTGTCATACAGCCTCCCTGATCTGAGGACAAACTCAATTGAGGTATATAAGCCTTTACTTTTCAGAATCGACACCAAATCATCCTCATCACTAATTATCTTAAGAAAGTCTTAAAATTAAAAAAATAAATTATTTTCCTATGATAATTAAGTTGGGTAAGTTTATACTTGTTAAAGTTTATTTGTGTACAGAAAAGACTGACTAAAATAATAGAATTCAGGATAAAATATTTCAGTAATCCTATGTTTAAAAAAAATCCACCCCTGTTTGCAGTGGAAGCCCGTACTGCTAGACATCCTTCATTTTTGTATGTTTATTGCCACCTTTACTCTATTTCCTTTGTTGAGTGAATTTATTTGCATTTCCATGTTGTTTTTAACAAGGCCATGTATTAGATATGGCAGGCAACTCCCATATGATCAAAAGATTCCCAATAGCACTGGAGTCAGAAGACTGAGTTGCAAGCCCAACTTTATTCACCGTCTCTGAGTTCAGGCAGATCACCCCACCTTGATAAATTCTGTTTCTCTTTTGACTGCCTCATCACTTTCCAGGGTTATTTTAATGTTATTTAATATTCAAGTAAGTTAAATATTCATAGCGAAATCTAAAGGCTATATTAGAGCAAATATCAAATTTAGATGCAAAGTAGTTTTATATGATCAGTTTCTTATTTTGGCTTCTGAGGAAGTTAGTCAATATTCTGTTATGTCAGCACCCAAGGAGGTAAGTTTTAATATAATGAGAACTATTGCTTATAATAGGTAGACCGAGCCATGTGTAGCATACGTGATGCAATTTTAGAATGATTGTTAGCAAAATAACGTTCTAACTAATTCTGACATTTTAATATAAATTTATTTGTTAGCTATGGAGACCAAAGGCTACCACAGTCTCCCTGAAGGTCTAGATATGGAAAGACGGTGGAGTCAAGTTTCTCAGGCTGTGGAGCAATCTTCCCTGGGACCCACAGAGAGGACCGATGAGAGTAACTACATGGAGATTGTCAACGTAAGCTCTGTTTCCGGTGCTATTCCAAACAGCAGTACCCAAGGAAGCAGCAAAGAAAAACACGAACTACTCCCCTGCCTTCAGCAAGACAATAATCGGTCTGGGACTTTAACATCTGACATTAAAACCGAGCTGGAATCGAAGGAGCTTTCAGCCACCGTAGCTGAGTCCATGGGTTTGTACATGGATTCTGTACGAGATGCTGACTACGCCTTTGATCAGCAGAACCAACAAGGAAGCGGGAGCCCAGCAAAGATTTACCAAAATGTGGAACAGCTGGTGAAGTTTTACAAAGAGAATGGCCATCGTCCTTCCACTCTAAGTAGTGTGAGCAGGCCCTTGAGATCATTTATGTCTGACTCTGGGAGCTCCATGAACAGTGGGGTCATGCGTGCCATTGTTAAAAGCCCTATCATGTGTCATGACAAGAGCCCCTCTGTTTGCAGCCCTCTGAACATGACATCTTCAGTTTGCAGCCCTGCTGGAATCAACTCTGTGTCCTCTACCACCACCAGCTTTGGCAGTTTCTCAGTGCACAGCCCCATCACCCAAGGAACTCCTCTGACGTGCTCCCCTAACATTGAAAACCGAAGCTCCCGGTCGCACAGCCCCGCACATGCTAGCAACGTGGGCTCTCCTCTCTCAAGTCCGTTGAGTAGCATGAAATCCCCAATTTCCAGCCCTCCCAGTCACTGCAGCGTAAAATCTCCAGTCTCCAGTCCTAATAACGCCACTCTGCGCTCCTCGGTGTCCAGCCCTGCAAATCTCAATAACTCAAGGTGCTCTGTTTCCAGCCCTTCCAACACGAATAACAGATCCACGCTTTCGAGCCCGACAGCCAGTACTGTGGGATCCATCTGCAGCCCTATAAACAATGCCTTCAGCTACCCTGCTTCTGGCACCTCTGCTGGAGCCGGTGCAACCCGGGATGTGGTTCCCAGTCCAGACACACACGAGAAAGGTGCTCACGAGATCCCTTTTCCTAAGACCGAGGAAGTCGAGAATGCCATCTCAAATGGTGTGACTGGCCAGCTCAACATTGTCCAGTACATAAAGCCAGAACCAGATGGAGCTTTTAGCAGCTCCTGCCTAGGAGGAAATAGCAAAATCAATTCTGAGTCTCCGTTCTCAGTACCAATAAAGCAAGAATCAACCAAGCACTCATGTTCAGGCACCTCTTTCAAAGGAAACCCAACAGTAAACCCATTTCCATTTATGGATGGCTCATATTTTTCCTTTATGGATGATAAAGACTATTACTCCCTATCAGGAATTTTAGGACCACCTGTGCCCGGCTTTGATGGTAACTGTGAAGGCAGTGGATTCCCAATGGGGATTAAGCAAGAACCAGATGATGGGAGTTATTACCCAGAGGCCAGCATCCCTTCATCTGCCATCGTTGGTGTGAATTCCAGCGGACAGTCCTTTCACTACAGGATTGGTGCTCAAGGTACAATATCTTTATCACGATCTGCTAGAGACCAATCTTTCCAACACTTGAGTTCCTTTCCTCCTGTCAGTACTTTAGTGGAGTCATGGAAATCACACGGTGATCTGTCATCTAGAAGAAGTGATGGATATCCGGTCCTAGAATACATTCCAGAAAACGTGTCAAGGTAAGTGTTTTTTTTTTCCCCCCTTCTCTATTCTTTTTTAAATCATGTCTCTATCAAATGTTGAAGGTTAGCTTTAGCTTTATTACGTTTGAATTTATTACTGTTTTATTTTTGTTTTTACAATGGTTTTTCTAGTCCTCCCCTTTGCTTGTTGATATAATGGTATAACGTTTCTGATGTAGAGGTACCGAACATTCTTAAAATCTTCTAGAAAATATTCCTGTTGACTTTGTAGGAGCATGTATAGGTGTCCCACCATTGTCTGTTTTAGATTTTTGGAAAACGTTCATTTTCCACACCAGTTACTATATTTACTTTAGTAGACAAATGCTAGATATATATTTTTCCCTTTAGCTGTTTTCTGGTTCACTGAAACTGCATCAAATTATTTTCTTTATGGTTTTAGTCTTTCTAAAAAAATTTTTGTATCACTTTCTTGGTTGTGAAAAATGAAAACCCCAATTTGTTAGGTACAAACTTCTCTCCTTCCCACCCATTCTAGGTAGATTCTTCATATGAAAGTTGTGGTTTTCAATGCAAATAAATCATTTCCTTAACTGTTGAGGGTTTTTTTAAAGATTCAGCACATCTAAAATTACTAGGTGGACAATCTTGCTTTCTTGGAAGTGAAATATGTCACCATAGTTTTGAATTGATATATTTATAACTCTTCAGAGCTGTAAGGAGACATACTTTATTTACTGTAAAATATCTCTTAGCTCCCTTTGTTGCAGATAGCATGTTGTATATATTTAGAAAAAACAAGGAAGAAGTTTTAGGTGACTGTAAAGGGTGGTTCTGAGTTATGCAATGAATACTCACATTGGACTTTGCTTCAGTACCGTTTTTATTACATGGTTGTCATAAATGATCCCTTTGTGGAATATATAAAGAATTGGTTTTCTAGATATAGTTCATTCCTTTGGCAGCATGGACTATGTGAATATTTTTCTTTAAAAATCTATTTTGTGAAAAGTATGTCCATTCCATTAATAAGATAGAATTTAACCTGTATTCTTCCATCTTTCTCCTTTACTGGATTTCTTTCAAACCTAAATCTTTCGTTTGTGCATTCTTTTCTCATCATTGACTCAAACCTTGCTCCTCTCATTTTTATAGATGCAAGTATTCCATAAAGGGTACATTCTTATAGTTCTCCAAAGCATGAGCTCTTTAATCATGGTCTAATTCTGTCTCTTATATTCCAAACTTTAGCACGAGACCTAAGATAATGTGGCTGATATCGGAACCAAATTCAGCATGTATTTTGCTGCTTACGTTTTGTTTTATCTTCAGAGAAGGATATTTTTGCACATAGTGTGAGTATTTTTGTTTAAGTGATGGTTTCATTGAGTTAGTGGGGTAGGATATCCTGGTGGCTGAAGGCATCATTGCCCTGGTTGAAATTCCAGTTCTGCCACTCAATTGTTTGTGTCCTTGTGTATATCTCTTTACTTCTCTGTGATTTAGTTTTCTTATTTGGGATTAAACAGACCTATCTTCCAGTGAGTAAGACAATTTAAAGGAGTTAATTTATGGGAAGTTCTTTGACATCTGTTATGTTAGTATGCACTATATACATTTCACCTGTTATTTTAAATAGTTTCATAATCTTTCCATTTCTTTTCATTTTCATAAAATGAAGAAAAGGGAAATTTCACAGAATCTTTTAAGAAATATTTAAAGTATTCAAGTTCTGGTTAAAAGAAAATATTTTGTAAATTAGCTCTGGTATTTTTCTTTAATGGTTAGGTACCACACATTTATTTACTTTTTTAATTTCAAAGAGTATGGATTTGCTGAAGTTTTTCTCTAATAAGTATTAGCAGAGAAATGCAGTAGCTAAAATCATTACTTCTAACCTTTGTTGTTTATTCATTTTCTCCTATTTTAATTCTTATTTTCAAACTCGACTCATGAACCCCCTTCAGATGATTCAGTAAACCATAACTGTAGACAGGTAGATAACAATCAGTGACCAGAAGTGTGGTCTGTCTCCTCTAGATATTCCAGAATTCTTTGAATTTGCTAATATGGTTGAAGGGCTTTGTGCTGCTTGCATACATACTGAGTTTTATGCCAGTTAAGATGAGTTTTTCAAAATCTTTAATGACCAAACTTTACATGTTATTTGAAATCTCTTGTAAATTCTTTGCAACCCTTCCAGGTAGATAATATCCAAACCTATTTGTTTTGATCATTTCCAGAACAAAAGAAATGATCAGAGGATCAGAGGATATAGAGATCTTTTTCTAGATTTCAGTCCCCATGATAGAATCATCAATTTAACTTCATTCAAGCTTTTATTCTGTATCTTTTAAATAAAAATCTAACCTTTTGCCTCTTTCTTAATTTATGATGATGCCACTCCATTTCAGGTAATGTTAAATACATTAGTGTTAAAGGTCATAAAGGCTCAAGGTAGGGTGTAAATGTGTCTAGGTTTAATGGTATTCTCGACTTTAGGTTGAACTCTAGACTGTTTTTTAATAGATCTCAAGGTGTGTTTTGGTGGCTTCCAGAAATCTTTTCAAGGAAGTTCATGAGGTCAGGAATCAGGCACTGGTAAAGACCCACTCCAAATGGAAGTAAACCAGTGGATTTGTAATAACACATGTTGATTTTCAGATTCCACATTGCAACTAACCTTTAACTCACCATCAGTTTTCACTGTAGTATCAAAGACTCCTATCTACCGTGATTGGAAAAGACCTTTAAAATATGTCTCTCCTTTTCCAGCAACATACATGCATGAGGCCAGATTTTCTCCATGTACTTGAAGCAGAGCATATCACCATACAGTGAATGCAGAAATAGATTAAGATTCAGCTATGGTCTCTTAAGTGGCTTGCAAAAAAGTATAAAACACAAAAGGAGGACTTTGTCACTAACGTTTGTCATTTGGGGAAATAGTGCAGTTTTTCATAAACATCTGTTTATGTTGCATGACTTATTTTTAAATGTGTTAACATCCTAGTTTTAATTTCTCATTTAATTGGAACTAATTAGAAGTTGGTTTTAATTTCTAATGTGGGTAAGTATCAGTAGCTGTAACTGGCAGCTGACTCTTTGGGATCCTCAGTACTGAAGAAAGGCTTTTGAGCCCCAGAAGTTGACAGCTACTTGTCTGTTCAATGCCACAGGCCTTTTGGAGGTTAATGGAGAAAGAGGTGATTATGATATTTGTGTTAGTCTTACTGGATATTCTTCTGAGGAAGGAGTGTCCTCTTCCAAGTAAGAAATGACTGTCACCTAGATTAATTTTTCAGGCTGACAGTAATGAGTAATGGCTGTGAAGGGTGTGTTGTCTTTATTTCAGTCTTGGGGCATTCTGTGAGAGCATTGACGAAAGTCATCTGTCTATTAATAATTCCCAGTGAGTGCCAAATTGTAAATTATGACAAAACTGAATGTAAAGCCCGGAGGGTGGACACTGGCCTGGGTTCTGTCATGTAGATGGGAGTTCCTTTGTCAGCTCAGGCACAAATGAAACTGACTCCATGACCTCCCGTGTGAGTCACAGCTTCTCCCAACAGCCTCAGTTTCTTCATTTTAAACTAAGTTGAACTTGATAAAAGTACGGGTTGGCCATGGAGTTGCCTTTGAAGAATCAAAATAGAGTATCCCTTAACATATTGGCCAATCTGGTTTCAAGTGAGACTCATAAGCTTCACTCAGTTGTTTTCAGGGTACTCTGGATAGAAAGACATTATTGTCATGTGCCATTTTAAAGGAAAAGTGAGGAAGAGTTGACTTGTTATTTTCCTTGATATACTGAATAGTTGTTCTCTTTTTTTTTTTAAGAAAGATATCAGACCTTTCCTTTTATAAAACCTGACACTTACTATGAATTCTCATTCTCTTTATTTTCACAATCCTTCATGGAAACAGGCTATTTCTGTTGACATAATGCTGGCTGTTTATGGTGATAACCATAGTCACTTTGATAGCATCATTACAGTGCTAACATTGACTTAGACTTCTGAATATAAAGTTCACTATTTCAAAGGGCATCATCTGATAGGCTTCAAGAGAACTAGGTTTTTATCTTAATTTGTGCTGAATTTTTTTTATAGTTTTTATTAAACAACATGCAGTTTAGTAAATAAAATAGTTTTTTTTTCAGTTGTCCCTGACTTTTTTTTTTTTTAAAGTTCACTTTTTATGATAAACTCAAAAGTTTCAGAACTCAAGCCCTTTTAGTAAACTTTCTGAATAAACCATGGAGATACACATCTCTCCATGTAATGCAAACTGTGGAAGAATAGTTGGTTTTGTGGGAGTGTGCATGTGTGTTTGACTATTGGTGCTTACGATGATGATAAATAAAACCATTACAGCATTACTTAGATCATTTGGGAAGGAGGACACATAACTTTCTTATTGTTTGTCTCAGAATATTTTGATTTCAGAAATTGCTAATGTGCCTAAAATTTCTCCAGGATAGTATTTGAAACGGTCTTTAAGTGAGACTTGCTTCTCCTGATAATTCACTTACTTTCATTCACTGATGGTTTTTCTGGGAAGAATGGTGATAATTTTATTGAAATAGAAGAACATTAGAGTTTTATATTAGACAAGTCATTATGTTTATGGTTTTGTATAAGTTTTTCTTATAATATCACAAATATCTTAGATTTAAATGTCAGTATGCCCAATTTTTATCTTTAAAAATCTTAGTTTATTTAGAGCGGTTTACTTCATTCATAAGGAGTGAGAAGAGTTGAGATTAAAAACCGTAGTTTCATTTAGGATAAATTCAAATTTTTCCCCTGGAGGCAGTTTTTGTCTGAGGGACATGTTGAAACCAGGACCTGGAGATTTATCATTTATAGATTTGACGTCTTTTGCAATATTGAAATTGTGGGTGTGTAGACCTTTTCTGTCCTAAGTGTCACAGTGATAGCAGATGCTGTGTGGATCACTGTAATTTCACAGCAACACTCAGTGTTCAATGCCATTTCCCTCACCCCCAAACTACTTTTTTTCCAGGCTGTTGA